ACTGGGGATCAGTGTGACAATCCCCATCCTAGTTTTTTCTTGTTTTAAATACAACAGAAAATAGTCATGAAGATATATATATATATATATATATATATATATATATATATATATATTATGCAGTCATGTTTTATATCATGGCAATAAGAAACATGCTAAAGTTTGTTGCATTTCATGTTATGACACAACTTTTTTACATCCTGTCATTGGTCAGGAATTCTTCTCCAATCTCGATGATGCGTCTCAGGGTGTTCAGGAGCAGAGCATCAATATCATTGTCCAAACTTCTCTCTGTACGGTAGTTTTTTACAGGAAAGATGCAGTTCTCTGGGATTCCCAATGCTTTGCTGGTTTCCTCAATCTGTAGGGAAAACACAAAAGCTGATAATAAAAATAGCAAAGCTCAGTTGGGGAGAAAAAAAAATCACTTTACTTTAGGTCTTTACTTGTTTTCTTCAAAATTTTAGAACACTCACTGAGAATATAGCACAAGATGTAACAAGATATGGAGTAATTTACCGTTTTCTGTAGCAGCCTGCTCGTGCAGACATTTTTTACATCTTTCTGGATCTCAGGACAAAGTTCATCAATTTTGGTGAGAAGGATCACATGAGGAATCCCTGTAGAGAGGAAACACAGCAAGACACATTTTACTACTATAAAAACTAAAGTTCTGTAGATTTATATGACAAAATTATAACATGCTTTGTTCTTCAGTTACTCTGTTGAAAGTTAACTTAAAAGTGTCTTTTTTCTTCTTTGGAGTAAAGTTTTGTCTCACCCAGGTCAGTGGCATCATCTCTGATGTCCTGAAATGTCTCCAGGGAGCTGTTTCCCAGTAGTTTTACGGTGTTGGCATCAATGACAGAGACCAGAACATGGACTTGGTCATTGACAGTTGGAGTTTCATTGTAGAACCGATCAGTTTTGGACAAACTTTTTTCACAATTGAACTAAAAATAGTTCAACAAAAACAGACGAATCATTAACACTTCAATAACACTTTGCTGTCTGTTTTTTCACTTTTAAAGGCTGCAACAGAAACCTTACTGTGTAACCATCCTTCATGTGTCCTCGCAGGGCCATTTCCACATCTTTCACATGGACTCTTCTCTGCCTCCGACTGAAGCTGCCCAGACCCATCATGTCATTTAGTACAAAAGGATACATCGTTCCTACAGTTTCCTTTTTCATGCGGTAGCTTTTGAACTGTAATAAAAAAATAATACAGATCACAGATGAAAAGCGGAATTTTAAAACTAGATTTGTCATTAAATAAGTTTAATATTTTTTTAATTGATCCTTTTTGTATCCCTAGAAAATTGTACTCAGGTTAAAGTGGGAGAACATGATGTGAATATATGGGTCATTCCAGAATTGGAGGATACGCATTGTCTCTACCTTCAAATTTTGAATAAACAATATCTATTATACTCTTAGACTATGTTCTTCACATTACTTAAACCTTTTAAGCCATCTGGAGGAAATGAAAAAAAGTATGATAAAAAGACCTGAAGGAAAATTATATTGTCAAAAAATTGGTCTGATCATACATACAGTAGCCTTTTACTATAGTCCTATTTCTTCTTTCTTTTTGCTCACTAAATGTGTTATTGATCAGATAGTAAACCAGCGAACACAACTAGCATGTACTTTTAAACAAAAACTTCAGTATTAGCCCATACAAGAGACGAAATGGCGCGTTCAGTGGCAACCCTGCTTCTTCTGTTTTTTTCTTTTTTTTCAACTCACTTCACACTCAGATGTTGCTGTCATGATCTTGGTACTGATGTTCGCTCTGATTATTCATTTCACTCACCTGCCCAGTTCTTGTTACTGCTCATCAGATCCACCTGCATTAGTCTCTTTTTAACCAGCCTTCAGACCAGTCATCAGTGCCAGAATATTTTCAAGCCGTTGGTGAGAAGTTTTCTTGCTTTACTGTATTCTGATTGCCTGATCCTGACCCATCTGAGCTTGCCTGTCCCCGATTGATCTGTTTGCTTGACCTGTCTTCTGACAACTTGCCAGATCTCTGCCTGTCTGTGTACCGAACCTAAACCTGTTACCCAACTCTGTCCTAGACTCTCCCTCAGGACCTAACTGGACCTCTGACCTCCTGGCTCTGACAACCAGGCATGTCACCGTCATTGCCTTTGACTTTGCCCTCTGGATTATCCTGCCTGCCTTCATCTGTTCGGTTCTGGTATTCTGCCTGTCCTCTGACCACCGATGCATCTGCATCTGGTCTTCCCTGTGTGGCGACTGCTGTGTTGCGTTGGCAGCCGTCCGCCTGGAACCAACCTAACCCTGTGGGCACATACTGAGCTATATAACCAGGTTAGTGGCTCAGAGGTTTGCCATCATCCACTTCCAGAAAGACATGGCCACTAATCAGTTGTCTCCTTCTTCAGAGGTTCCTGCTTTAGACACTGCTCACTTCAACTCTGTTTCGATTAAACATTTTGAGAATTATGTTTGTCCTCCTCGAATACTTGATCCTATTGTTTACAGTAGCAAAACGATACAGAACGCCGCAAAACTCTCTTGTTCTATGGCAACCAAAAGGGGACACACCTCCTTTCAAATATCAGAACAGAACAGTCTGTTACACTCATAACTATGTATCTTATGGCAGTTTTTGGGCAATTTTTTTGACAAATTTTAAATGTGTCAACTATAGTATTTGAAAAGAACTAGACTGTTATTTTTCTGACATGTGCAATGTTTGAGACCAAATATAATATATAGCTTTTTCAACATGATGATGCTAAGTTTCTTTGTCCCAGTCATGTCATAATATACAATGAAATGTATTATGTCCCTTTAACCCTGTTGCTTTGTGCAAACCGTGATACTCTAGGTTTACCCATTTTTCCAGTATAAACATGTTACATACAGGAAAATATAAACAAAAAAATTTAAAAGGTAATCAAACAGAGCATGTGAAAATTATAAACTGGAGCAAGATAGACTTAAAAAGTTGCTTAGGTTATAAAATTCAATTCATCCTTCTCCATCCTAAGGAAAAAACATTTTCAGAACTCAACAGTCATGTTTTTGGACTGTGAGAGGAAGCTGGAATACCCAGAAAGAACCCACGCATGATCTGGGAGAACAAGCAAACTCCATGCAGAAAGACCCCGGGCCAGGAATCAAACCCAGAATGTTCTTGCAGTGGTACCTACTACGCCACTGAGGGCTGCTCAGAGGCACAGTGGCGCAAGTCAATTATTTTGTAAAATTTATCTAGCATTTGAACAAAATAGAATTTTCTATATTTACTTGTAAAGGATTTACGTATTTCAGGTGCACGAATAAGTGATACTATGCTGCACCAAAGATGTTGAACAAAAGATTCATAATAAATTAAATAGAAATGTGTGATGGGTTAGCTGAACTAATCTTTTATGATGGTATATTGCCTGTTTTTCCTGAACGATAACATGTCCTTCAATTCAGATATAATTAGTCTTTATCCAACCTGTATATCAGCCATCACTTATAAGATCAGTTTAAAACTAACAATTTCATGATAGAGATGAAATACTGATCATCTTTTCTCTAATACTAATTAGAGAGAAATATTTTCTGTTTACCTCTTTGGTGTAGCTCCCCTGATTAATGCTGCAGACAGCAGCCCTGACACAGATCTGGCCCTCCAAGATGCTCAATACTGAGTTGATGAAACTGGATTTTCCAGCTCCAACTAGTCCATGAAGAAGGATCCTGAACTGTTGCTGACCATCAGCTGTTGGTTTGTAGTCGTTTATGAACTGCAGGTCCTTCTCTTTGTCCCTGTTTAGGAAAACAACTATTACAGCGCCCCCTAGTTGTAGCTAACTGTATATTTATCAACTCAAAGAGGAGTCTCTCTAATTTAAAGGCTGGATTATTGTAAAGAAACATGAAGGAAGGTTTAGAGGTTAAAAAAGAGGAAGTAGAGATTCAAAGTGGAATCACTGCATTATAATAATGCTGATGTGGATTATTGTTGCAGACACACTCACCCCCACTGGATCTGCAGCCATTGCTTATCAAGAACTGCCCATTAAAGAAGTAATACCATCAGATGCTATTTGTAGCAATAAAAAGCTATGTATCAGTTTTAAAGTCAACTTACGAGGAGGAGGAGGAGGAGGAGGAGGTGTAGAGCTAGAACGTCCTCCCATAGCTAGAATTAAAAAATCCCACTCCAGTTAAATTGAATCTAACTTTTAACATTTTTAATTAAACAATTTCAGTGAATCCAATAATACAGCTATCAACACCTGTTTGAAAAATAACATATGAGCATTTTTGAATTAAAATGAATGATAATTACAATGATAAAGTAAACACAAAAAAGCAATTAATTTAAATAAAATGTATTAATGATTACACAGACAATCTGGATCAAATAAAAATCTACCTTAAAGTTACAGTTTAATATAAAAATTACCATATTCAGGAATAATATGTGATCACATATAATGTTAAATACTTTTACACTTTCTCAAGAAAACTGAGACAAAAAATGCAAAAGAAAAGAAAACAATTTACCTTTACAGTGCAGTCAGTGGAGTAAGAAGCTGAACTGCCTGTCATTAAAAGACTGAGATGCTGCTGAAACATTTATACCCGCTGGATCCAGGTTACTTTTACTTTCACTTTTTATAATCACATGATTTAGGAGAGATCATTTGATCTGCAGACTAAAGTTATTATGTTTTAGAAGGCTCATCTGGTCTCTCAATGCAATTGATAACATTTTCTCAACTGGAAGACAAATTAAAGGGGACCCGTCCTGTCCTGCCGGGACATACTTTGTGGCATACACCCTGGACTCCTGGAAGGCTTGGAGGATGGGTTTGTTTTACGATATTTTCGGTCAAGGACTTATAAGACATATACTTTTGGATATTTGATACTCGGATTTCTTCTGTTTGGATTTGGAGGATACTTGATGTATCTACAATTACAGAGGATGTCGGCAGCAATTTGGGTATTGATTAGGCTGCCGGCACCGGTTGATGCACTTACAAAGGATGTGAACGAGCAGGACCGTGACCCAAGCAGTATGCTGGGTGCTAAGTAACACTTTCTGGCTGTGGTGGTTGAACTCAAAGATGAGATAGGATACCTTGGATGTGCACGCTCGTTTCAAGGCAGAAAAGCCCAAGAAATTCTGAATATTGTATTAATCTTTTCAACTTACTGCTGCTGCTTTAAAGATGGCTCAGCCCAGCTATCGGGGCCTGATCATTATGTTTTGATTCCTAGAACCCTGAATCTCTCTGTTGTTGTTCTGATCGGAACCCCTGTCCGGGTTACGGACTCCTGGGTCTCAGAACCGTCCTGTTCTGGACTCTTTCCCTTACCTGGCATGGACTTCTGCCTGTTCACGGACACTGCTACATAGGCGACACACTAGGCGGTTCCACACCGCATGTTGTCAGTCCATCGGCTGGATCCTGCCTCACCCGTGAGGATGGACTGAACTGTTAAACCAGGTAAGTGACTCACATGGATAATCAACCTTCTGTCAGATTATGGTGGTCACTTACCTTTGTTTGTCCCTAACCAGAGTGCTAGTGATGGTTGGTGCCCCGTCTCCCCCCTTGAACTTTCCCTCTGTCTGTCTCGCCTCGAATTCTAGGTCCTACATTTAGAGCTCATTACAGATTTGCCATGTGTAGCCTAGCAACAAACGCTTCAAGACTGTGGAAACATTCTGTGGAGCTTGCTCTCAAAACAAAAGTGGATTTTGGATTTTGGCTCCCCTGGATGTTATGGCGGAGGGGCCCAGAACTGCCGGCTCCCCCTCATCCGCTACCTAACATGTGTGGTACACCTCTGGATGCGTTCAGAACTGTAGCACCAGTTGATAAACTTTCATCTTATGAAGGACAATGGCCTCTGGACACGTTCATGGACATATTGAAAGCAATCACTCACACACACACAACTGATAATCAAATACCAGATAGACTCACACGTGACTCTCTGCCTCCAAAGGTTTCCCTCTGCTTAAATATTTTTCTTGTGTTATATGTGCTTTTCTTGTAATGAGGTGTTTTTTGATATCTCAAACTGTAACCTGTCAAGAATAAAGTGTGAAATACGCCTTTTTTGCCCTCTCCCTCCCCAATGTGTCACAGATATTGTGGATATTGTGGAAAGATGGAGGCGCTTCCCTCAGGGTCACAAGTCCGTATGTTGGCAACATGCACGTTAAAATTGAAGCGACACATCGAGTTAAAGCATCCGAGCTATCTCGGGAAATATCTGGTACTGAATAAGGAACAGAAGAAATAATCTTCGATCGAGATCTTTTCAGAAGAACCTGACCGTTCCTGCATGTTTCTGTTTTTAATTTGTTTGTAATTTGGCCAAATAAAGGTTTCACTGCACATCCTGTAATCCTTGACTGCATCAAGTATTTTTCCATGTACAATATATCATGATCACACATGTAAAGTTGAAAATATAAGGTTCTACTGTGGAGAATTGTGACTTAATTTACCAAATGAACTTGAACTAGTTCATTTATAAGTTTATGAACTTGGATAATTTTTTGAAAAAGGGAAATATGAACGTGAGCTAGTTCATTTTCATCTGTGTGAACAGTTTGTTCTTTTCAACTATAACTTGCAAAACATTGACCATCCTAACGCCAATCCTTACTGCTTCTGGTTAATAATTTAGAATCATGAAACAAAACTTAAACACAATTATGAAACAAAACTTAAATACAAGTACTGAGTTTGCCTAAGAAATAAATTTATCAGAAACATGACAATGTTACTAGAATCCAATTCCCCAACCAATGCTCCTTTCTGTCACCATGGTTCTTCTTGTAGTTGAATGCATCTTCACTGCAGTGATGGTTTAGAAAGTGTACCATAATATAAAGTACTACAAACTTGACATCGTCAGTTGTGAACTGATTGCTTATGCTCACTGAGCCCTGACTAAACTATCAGTGCTGTTTTTTTTTGGTCTCTGTTTTTTTTCCCTTCGTCTGAAGAATCAGGGTTCTAAGGTCGTATTGGCTAGCATTGCTAGCTTCAAGATACCTTTTATTTGGCCACAAGTATGTTGGTGGCCATCTTAGGACAAAGTTTTATGACAAAGTCGTATGCTCCACTGGTCTTACATTTAAATGCATTTTAGTCCTTATTCATTATTCTCTACAAGTGAATGAAGCTTAAATGCTTTGATAGCGTTTAAGATCTCTGAATCAGTTGTTATTTACACTTATCTGCTGCTAGTTCAAGGGAAACCTTGATTAACCCTGCATTAACCCACCAAGCCTTAAAACTTGAACATTCCTTTAAGACTATTTAACTCTTAGACTCCCTTTTTCCCCTTTTTATTAGCCTTTACCTTGTGCTTATTTTCAGTGCTTTGTTTCTAGATGTTGGAGCTTGGCCTGTTTTCCAGTGTAGTCCTGTTTCTCTGACTGTGACTAACTGGATGTGCTCTCTTCATCCTCTGACANTGTGGAGCTGGTTGACAGTTGCCTTTTGTATCTATGCTTCTTTTTCTATGTCTGCTTCTGTCTCCTTGAACCCCAGTCGGCCTCAGCAGATGGCTTCTCAAACTGAGCACATTATAAATGCAGTCATGTTTTATATCATGTTACATGTTAAAGTTGTGATGCATTCAATGCTATGACACAACTTGTTTACGTCCTGTTATTGGCCAGGTATTCTTCTCCATTCTCGATGATGCGGTGTTCAGGAGCAGAGCATCAATATCATTGTCCAAAATTCTCTCTGAATTATATTTTATTATAGGAAGATGCAGTTTTCTGGGATCCCCAAACCTTTTGCTGGTTTCCTCAACCTGCAGGTAAAACAAAAAAACTAATAATAAAAATAGCAAAGCTCAGTTGGGATGAAAAAATACTGAAAAGTTACAAACAAAGATTTGGACACTGAGAATATAGCACAAGAAATAATTGACCCCCTTTTTAGGTAACTTCTCCTGCAGACATTTCTTACATCTTTTTGAATGTCGGGACAGACTTTGTCAATTTTGGGGAGAATGGTCACACGAGGAATCCCTGTAGAGAGGATACAGACACATTTTACTACTATAAAAAGTAAAGTTTTGTAGATTTATATTACAAAATTACAACATGCTTTGTTCTTCAGCCACTCTGTAGAAAGTAAAACTACTTGTAAGTGTCTTTTTTTCTTCTTTGGAATAAAGTTTTGTCTCACTCACGTCAGTGGCATCATCTCTGATGTCCTGAAATGTCTCCAGAGTGCTGCTTCCCAGTACTTTTATGCTTTTGGCATCAATGACATAGACCAGGACATGGACTTGGTCATTGACATTTGGAGTCTCGTTGTAGAACTGATCAGTTTTGGACAAAGTAACTATCTGTACCTGCTGGAGTTTTGGGTACAAGGATGTGATTCTAAGACAAGGTTGCAGTGTGTTACATTAGTAATGTAATATAATGTATGCAAACCTTCTAAAGGTTGGAGCTAAACCTGATCTGTAAAATATAAAAAGGGTGTTTTTGAGAATCAAATTAAAAACCATACATATGGAATTAATACATGGTTTGAAAGTATAATCAAGTATAGTAATCCTTTGTAAGCAATTTAAAAGCCTGTAAGCAAAAGTACTTAATCTGTTGAAGTTGTTTTGGAAGCTTATATTCAAGTATGTAATCTCTTTTTTTCATGAAACAATCATGTATAGAAATGAGAAGTAATCATTGAGAGGAATAAGATTAGGGAAGTAAAGAAAGCTGATGGAGAGGAAAGGAAGGAAGGAGAAGGAAGTTGGGGGCTGCAGTGTCTTATGACAATTATGAATCAGAATCATGAGTCAGTGTTTTTGATAGTGAAAGTAAAGTATTTTACCAACAGTAAACTACCTGAATATTTGTGTCGTACAAAGGATAGACACTCATATACACATGGATTTTACTGCCGTTTCTCATTGGCTGAGAAGCTGCACAGAAGTTTAAAGATATAAGATAAGTGGGATGCTGTTTTAATTAATTCCGTAAAAGTTTAAAAAACAAAATGAAAGGAATTTAATCAAAAACATAATTAATGTGCACAATAAGTAAAAGCTCTATTAACTATACATGTAAATGTAGTTTTATGGGGCCCCCAGGAACCTGGGGCCCCCTGAATACAACATCCTAG